TCTAAAAACTCCAAACAAAAACTGAAATTAGTAGTACCATGATAAACGATTACATGATTCTTTTTTCAATGCTGTTGTTGAATTATAACAAGCTTCTTGAAATGAAGCATTACTAGATTTTAATCCTATTCTCGAATATTGTGCATTCCTGGTGCACACAATATATACAACTACACTTTTAAGATTCTCAATCTTCAGTTGGTGTTTCTATATTTCCAGAATATCCTTCCCGTAATTGCATATATAATCCATTTCACCAACTATAATCCACTGTTTATCACGTTTATGTTATTTCTTGACTCGCTTGCCTCACTCTTGTCATTTCGAATGTATATTATTACTAATAAATAACTGAACACCTTGATACACAACAATAGTGTCTGTATCAAACGAACTTCTGAAATAACTGTCCAACCTCTCGTATCAACATATTAAGAAAAAACAGCAGCTTATCCTGTTTTTGAAAAATTATATATGTGGAAATAACAAACGAACTCTAACAAAAGTCGCAAAATACTTTTCTTACATTCCTATACCGAATTCACACAAATTTTGTCTCGTGATCGCTTATACACCGCACATCATGCATTATCTATGCTGTAGAGATTTGTCTTCTATAACCCTTTTCTTTTGTGGAAATATGTTACACATAAAAAATTTGCTTAAAGTTCCAAAAGGTTATAGATAAAATTAACAATATGATACATATATGAGAGAGAAAGAGAGTAGTTTGTAACAAATTATAATTAAAAAAAATGAAAAGCTTACTTTATAAAGTACAAACAAATCATTTCAAAAATCTATTTTATTCCGTTTATATTTATTAATTATCGTTATACACCATAGAAAGACACCGAGGAATATATTGTATTAAATTTAGTCCCATCTTAATCTTCTAGATAACTGTCCAAACTGTCGTCTTCACTTTATTTACAAAGCCTTACATCAAAAGGCTTCCTCCAGTTCCCTTAAAATTTAACACCTTACTTCGTGTTTAAAGCTCTTGGTAAGATTCTCAAGAAGCCATCTAATAAATGAAGCCATCGTAATTTTCATTAATCTTCCTTTGTACCGTAGCTTAAATAGCTTCTCAGACACTTCTCGCTACCCGTTGATGAATCCTTCTAAGACTGGATGACAAGTATCATTATGATTCCACGATATATTCAAGTGAATACGCAATCAGTGTATGGCCTTAAAAGTTTAAGTAACAAGAACCATTCTGTATTGTATTTCATCATTTCTCCTTGCTTATTTCATGTTCTAATGTTTTTATTAGTTATAAAACGGATGCCATACTTTACAGAAAAATTATAAGATAGTTTTGTAGATTGATACAAATGCAGTTTTATTTTTATACACTTGTATAATCACTGAAATACATTTGTGTAGTAAAAGATATTTTAGATCAATAAAATGAAATATCCATATTAAGAATTAAATAAGTAATAAAAAAGTTGTATATCCATAAAATTAATATTCTAAAGCGCATAGTAAAATTTACAGTCGTGTGTTTAGGCGAAGGAGGAAAAAGGTTATTCATAGAAATGACATCATTGTTTAGGAAATATTAATCCCGATTAGAAAGGTGCATGAAAACAACTAATGATCTTGTTCTTGAAATCGCCAATAAAGGTCAAAAGAATCCAAAGAATCAGTAATAAATATATCAGCATACTGTTTTTAATGCTTTAGAAAAAGATAAATTGAGAAACGTTTCGAAATAGGGTATTGGGATTTATAAATCAGATGTTATAAATAAAGGAGATTCGAATTATGAATTGATGTCAATTAAAGTTATTATATATAGAAATATATATGAGTTTGTTCCTTTAATATTTTTCACAAAAGCATGTTAAGAAATGATTTGATATAAATAGGTTCATAATGTAACCTTCTTTCAAGAAAGGAAATTAAGAATAAAAATACTGATTAAATACTCACAAAAAACATTTCTAAGCTTAAAAAAGGAAATTAAAAAAAGTTTGTGAGTCATTTTCTACTATTTTCTTTTCAATCCTCCTCTTCCAAAATCTTTTTCAATTCCTTTGCATGAACCAATCATAAATAGAGACTTATTTCCACCTGAATGGCATTGTTGTGGTACTAAAACGAAGATTGATCGTCGGTCTGAAATTCCCTTTTTATTCACAAACTTATATATTTTTCATCTGTTTCTCATAAGCGTCCCTCCCACGAACAGAGCGCTTTCACGCCAAAGCTTTTATTGCATTTTCTCTGCAAATGGCATTTCTACGTGCGCTTGAATTCAAGTATTTCTCCATCTCCTCAAATTCTTTCCTTTCATTGTCCGAAAGTAAGCTGGGGGAATTTTCTTTTGAAAATCCATCTGAAGGAAGTGGTTTAGTTTCCGTTCCAATTTCATTCAAATCTGCAACAGAAGTTGTACTACTACTTAAAAAGTAACGTTATTTGGTGTTTACAAAATTGGTGTACTGTGTTGTGATTTCCGTACAATATTACACTTTGTTTAATTCGCAATTTCTCCAGTTTATGAAGGATGTACCGAGCACAGTGCTTCTCAAACTTTTAATATTTGCAACCCAATATTCACAATTCTAATTTTCATCGCCCCCCCCCTATATCCGCACAACAATGCATTGAATTCAATAATACTAAACTTTTTTAAAGCAACAATACGACTTTAACTTTTTAAGTGCCACTAGCGTATACATACGTGCCGATGCGTTAAGTACTCTGGATGTATATATACGACTTTTCAAAGTGCTATCTTTTCTGTGCACTGCAATTCATAAAATTATTCCGAAGTCTTTGGAATGCAACAAAAGGACCTTGACAGTGTTTGCGAAGGATTTACTTATTTCAGAGGATT